TGCCCGTGCTGAGCGGCGGCAGCAGCTGGGCAGAAGCTGCTGCTCAGTATGGGGAAAAGTGGCCCCTCCCCTTCACCACTGCTGGGCCCTTCTTGCTACAACCATCAGGAGCCTGTACCTGAACTGCCCTCTGCACTGCCACCACTGCAATGTAGGCAGCGATGACAGCAACAGGGGGCAGCCCAGGTGTAGGCTCTAGATGGCTGCAGCAAAAAGGGCCCTGCAGTGGCATGGAGGGGGTGGGGGAAGGCGGTGCTTTTCCCCTGGGCCCAACAACAGCTTCTGTCTAGCTGCTGCTACTGCTCAGCTTGGGCAGGTGGTCCTCACCAGGTGCGGGGTGGTCCGGGGTTGGGGCTGTCCATGTGGGTTCCAGCTGGTCTGCTCCACCAAGCCAAGTACAGGGCTGATGTCGGGCTGGTCAGAGCTATGCATGCTGTTCCCCGCCAGTACCGTGGGGCTGGGACCAGTGGCAGGGGCAGCCAGAAAGAGGCCCCCCTGGAACCCCGGCGGGCAAGGAGCCACCACTGACACCTGGGCTGTCTAGGAAGACGGGCTGAGGTCAGGTCTGTGGCTCTACGTTGTTGGTGGTAGCGGGGAGGAGCCACAGGATGCATGGGCTTCAGACTGCTGTGAGGGCAGGGAGTTGTGACCAGCCCTCTGCAGCTCCCCAGAACTGCCTATGTGGCCCATGGGCCGAAATAATTGCCTACCCTAGAGGGTCTTGCCCATCCACTCAGTGTCAGACTGATTCCCACATATGGGGTCAGGGAGAAGTTTTGCCCCATTGTCAGATTAGTACAGACTGCATGGGGATTTGCCTTCCTGTGCAGGAAAGGGTGTGGTCGTCTTCCTGGCCATCATTGTCCCCCTGCTTTAGCTATGGCAGATTAGGGTACAACAGGTTTACCTGTGTAGTTTTAGTAAAAGGTTAGACAAGGATTTGGATGAGCATGACCCTCAAGCAGGGTATTGGATTAGGTGACCTCCAGAGGTCACTTCCAGCCCTACTTTTTATGATTCTAAATTAGGGCTTCTTAGCCTGTGTAAAACTGAGCAGGTTCCTATTGAGTACAAGCCTAGCCCCAGTAAATAATGTATATATGTTGTAATTAATCTATTCTTCTAGCAACTTCAGTGACTGATGGCAGTAACTGTGATCCTAGTCTGTAAAAAAACTCCCTGTCTGATTAGGGTCATTACTAAATTAGAGGAGCTGCTGTCCTTTCTTTATTGCAGTGGTTCATCAGTACTCCCACTGCCTGCCTGTTTTGCAGAATAACAGTTTTCTTCTGGGGCCACCAAATTAAGTTGTCTCTGAATGTTCACCATTTCTTTTTTCTCAACAGAGTCAAAGTTATATAAGATATAAAGGAATTGAGTGTTTTATGATATTGCACCAGAAGTTCTAGTTTACCACATAATGAATTTACAGGAAATTACATCTGTAATGCAAGCAAAGCCATAATAGGTATTCTAACATCCACTTAAAGGTAGTGATATAATCACAAAGTTCTTTCAATTTTTCTTACATTTTGGCAAGACAAAATAAAAAGAACCTTTTTATACTACTGTGTGGTACTTTCCCAGGAGGTGCTGGAATTATTTTTTTCTGGACACAGTAAATTATTCTTCATAAAGAAACAGATGCACTTAATCTGTCAGACTCCAACTGATTTGAGAGAATTAATGTAATAAATGGCAAAGTATTGAAGTCAATAATTTATAGTTTGAATAGTTAGGAACCAAATGAGGTCAGTCATGCTTAAACACTCTTAATATATGCATGTTGAAACCAGTTTGACAGTTAATACAGGTTCAACTTGAAAATTATTTTCATTTTTCTAAGGCTAACATTTATTACTAGTTTCTGACGCTCTAGATCACTGTAATTACTCTGACTTTTTAAAGCTAATTTTATAATGCCCTTTTTTGTATTTCCCCTATTAAGATAAAGATAATCATAAATAATCATGACAACACTTACCAAGGAATGAATTCGTAACTGCTGTCTAGCTCAACATTAATTCACTCATGAGCAAGAGCAGCTATTAGGTTCAATCAACCCACTCAAAGGTCATGGTTGCTATATTCTATAATAAAAGTAAATACATATAATGTTACATACTTATTATATCCTTAGTTCAGAAAAGTTGGATAATACTAAACAAGCATGGTGGGTTTTGTGCAATATTGAAATAGAAATTTGGAGATGACTTTTAAAAGTTAATGTTTTTTCAGTTCTTAATTAAATTGTATAAGCATTGGGCTAATTGTTCCCCGCCCCCCATTTAGAAACCAGTCAGAACTGTATAGTGTCCACAGTCTTGCATCATACTATAATTACTAAATATAATGCTATGGTACAGCATCAGTTTGATAACCGTTAGATTACCACATTAATGTGTAGTGATAGTTCCTGTCAGTTTAGAGGAATGTTTTTCATCAATTAAGAGAATAGTATATGGTCCCTTTCTGATTGATAAGAATGGCCTTGAGACTGAATAGAGCCCAAGTTGTGTTCAAATTGATTGTAATACACCATTGTTATTGTTGAAATGTTGCTTGCAGAGACAATTAAGTTTGCTATCCAAAGAGGTAGGTGTAATTTTGTCAGTGGATTGGATATTTTTTATAGGCACCTTTTCTGAGATAAAGCAGCTAAGATCTGCATTTTGTCCTTATGCTTCCATGTCTGTCCATCTGTATTCAGCTATTTTTTCTGGTACTACATTTAGATTATAATTTCTGGGGGTAGAAGCTATCTTCTTGTTATATATGTGTTAAGCACTGAAAACAATGAGTAATCAATGGCTCACTGTCTAGTTCATGGCCAATGTCAAGTGCAGTGCCCCTGAGTCAGTCCTGGGGCTGGTATGGTTCAGTGTCTTTATCAACAACCTAGAAGATGGAATGAGTTCACCCTCAGCAACTTTGCAGATGACACCAAGCTGTGGGGGAGTAGTTGATATGCTGGAGAGTAGGGCTAGGATTGAGAGAGACAAATTGAGGAACGGACCAAAAGAAATCTCATGTGGTTCACTAGGGACAAGTACAGAGTTCTGCACTAAGGCCGGAACAATCCTATGCACTGGTACAGGCTGGGGACTGATTGGCTAAGCAGCAGCTCTACAGAAAAGGACCTGGGGGTTATGCTGGACAATAAACTGAATATGAGTCAACAGAGTGACCTGGTTGCAAAGAAGGCATATTGGGCTCTATTGGTAGGAGTTATGCCAGCAGATGGAGAGAAGTGATTATTCCATTATATTTGGCACTGGTGAGGCCACAACTGGAGTACTGTGTCCAGTTTTGCACTACAGAAAGGATGTAGACCAATTGGAGAGAGTCTGTCAGAGGGCAGTGAAAATGGTTTGGGGGCTGGGACACATGACTTCTGAGGAAAGACTGAGGAAACTGGTTTATTTAATCTGGAGTAGAGATGACTGAGAGGGGATTTAATTAGAGGTGCACTGATATATGGGTCCAATACCAGATCATCACCAATATAAAGAAAATTGACTATATTGGCCTGATGTGGCTGATCATTTGGCTGATAAATGTCCGTGCATGCGCGCAGCCGCATTGCAGTACACAGGCAGCAAGGAGTACAGCCCAGCAGCATGGAGAGCTGCATGCAACTAGTAAGTCTGTTGTGGTGGATGGGGAGGGAAGGGGCATGGAGGGGCAAATCAATGCCTCCCACATAATGAGGGAGGGAGTGGGGCTGGGGTAGGCACTGCCTGGGGCTGGGCAGGGCATAGGATGAAGCATCTGGGGGGTGCAGGGAGGGGGAGCAGCTCCCACCACTGCACACACCCAAGGAAGACACGGGGCGGGGGGGGGCATGTGCCCCCTGGAGCTGTGCGGGGGGGTGAGGATGGGCTGCAGCTGCAGACTGGGGCAGAGGGCCACTCCAGGCTCTTCCCAGTGGGGGAGCTGGGCCACGCTGCGCTTGGGGCAGGGGGAGGGGAG